CCCCCCCCCCCCTCCACCACAAAAGTGTCACGTTATTAATGGACGCCCCCAAAAGTGAAAATCAGTACGAAAAAATATCGTTCATGACTAGGGCCACGGGGTTTTCTACTCGTAATATACTATTACCCTCAGGTGATCCTGTAAGTTTTTGTTTTTCGCCTCTCGCTCTTTTAGCTCCCCCAGTAAGTTCCTCATCTTTTCTTTGAGCTCCTCTATTTCGGCTTTTTTTACCTAGAAATTACTTTTTTAAAGATCAATTGATGTAATACTAACGGGTGAAGAATAGCAGATGATTACAAATACAAAACTGTAGATTGTTCCGTAGATCTTTAGGAAACGAAGAGGTTTTGTGAAATTCTATCACAAGAATTTTTTCTAGAAAATGTTCTTGTGATAGAAAATTGATAATTTTACAAATTCTTGATTTGGAAAAATCAAGAATTGAAGGGTTTATTGACGGTCATATATAGCACAATCATCTCATAATTCAACAAAGTGAATTCTCCCAAGAAAATGATTCCTTGGCAAAAGTCCTTTTTATTTCAGTGCAGTGCAGATGTTTAATTACTGACGCCTAAAGCATTCTCCAGTGATATTATCATCGACTCATTCTTAATTATCCTGGTGTGCTCGGAATCGATGGATCCAGTTGGCGATTCTAGTCCTCGACTGTCGCAACTTCGGTTGGAAAATGTAACTTGTTCGTCTATTGTGGAGGAGTTGGACAGAACTTTGCTGGTTACATCGCTGTCGTAAGTTTTGCTCTCCGGAGTCTTCGATAAATGATAGAACAGTTAAAATCATCTGATCGATCGTGACTTAAAGTATTGAAGGATAAAAATAAAATATGTAGGAGGGAAATTAAAATTAAAATACTGAGGAGCGAAATCTTTCGTAAATTGAGGAAGTTATGATGTAAAGTTATGCATCATTTCCAACGAAATTGAATTTTGGAATTGTATTCCCGTGAATTATTGATTTAGGGGAATTTGAGTTTTTATGAAAATTGCTGTTACCAGACTCTCGGTAGATGTGAAGTGCGAATAACTATTCAAATTGGAGTTGTAAGGAATAGTCATATCCGAAGCCTCAGAAACAAGTGTCTCATCATTCTCATCCTCCAATTCTTCGACTTCGAACTTGTTGTCCTCAGTGATCTCCATGTGGCGATGATCAATGAACCCTTCGTTTCTCATCTGTATTAATCGCATTGGTAAGCAGACCAGAAAGGAAGTTAAATGACAAGAATGAAAAAAACCTTTAGAAACAGCAAGGGAATTCGTTAAAAAACTATTGGATTTCCAATAGAATTTCATTCAATTCCTGAGGAAAGTTGCGATTTTACTGAAGTTTTTGTTTCAAAACAGAGGCGCTGGAATCGTTCAAATTTTTTTAATGAAAAAGGAAGGAAAATCGAGGGGGAAAACCTAGAAAATTTATGTCGAAGAATTTCTATAGAAACTGTCTTAATAGAAAAAGTTTTCCTATGAAATAATTTCCATTAGCCATTTTCAAGTAAAAAAAAACAGGAAAGTTGAAGGATTCTTCAATAGAATTGTCCAAAACATAATAGAATTTCCAACAGAAGCTCAATAAAAATCCAATAGAATTTTTTATCGAATTCGCTAGTTTTTTTAAAGAAATTTGCTAACGAACTTTTTGCTGCAACTGCCTCTCTTGCTCAGGGGTGAGTTCAAGGGATTTATACCTCTCCAGTTCCTCCCGTAGCATCAGCACTTCTGAATGTGTACTCAGGTCATTGATGATTTCAATTAAATAGTCGATCGGCACTATTTTTCCTTCCTGTGAATAATTAAGAATTAGATTTCCTTCATTCCCTTTCCTTCATTTCCTTTTTCCTTCATTATTTATACTTTACAGTTCTATTGCCTTTTTTTTCTCCAAAATTTCAAATTGAAAATCTGGATGTTTTTACTTTTTGAAATTTTTGGGATACAAGGGCAATGCAGCAACCGAGTTGGTGATTTATAAAGGAATGAGTGCATCTCCTTGATCGCCAAATTACCTCGTGACTTGGAAATTTTGGAGGAAAATGTGAAGATAATTTAATTTTTCTTCGAAGAATTTTTGGCTACAAAAGTTTTTCTGATATTTTTCCCTAGAATCACTTATTTCGATTGATGAGAAATCAATCTTACCTCAAGAGATTTGACATCTTTATCGGAGAATATCAGAATTTTTTTTGGAAATTGGAGTAAAGGAACTTATTCTGTTTAGATATACACGGAGAGAAATTTTCAAGAAAAATTCTAGTACGAGTACTGGAAGAAATTACAATCCACCGGCTGTGAAAAATTCTAGTGCTGTTAAGGTAAAATTTCTTGGTATTTCTGTGGAATTTTCACAGAAATGCGGGGAAAAATTCACGTTTTCCCCAATAAAATTTCTAGTGCCGGCACTGGAATTTTTTCCTGACCGTCACTTTGCGCCTCTTTTCCCGTGCTAGCACTATAATTTTTTTAAAAAATTTCTCTTCATGTATTTTCTATAGAATATTCCTCGGCTCAAATTTTCCAAGTATTTTTCATTCTATTTTTCTGTTCATTCAAGCAAGAAAATGATAAAAAAACTTGGAAAATTTGAGCCGAGGAAATTCTATAGAAAAATCGAATTCTGTTGACTTTTTCTATAGAATATTTTCTATTTAACACTTCAATGGAATCGGCCAAAAAACTCAGTAACGAATCGTCTAGGTTTTGCCACTAAATTTTTTCCTACATCGAAAAACGAGTGATAAAATGAAATAAAAAATTACATTCTGATTCTCCGTGACATCCCGAAAATACTGAAACGTCTCCAACTGCTTGGGACTCCACGTCCGAATATCCAAAAACGAGTCGTACATCTTCAATCGATGACCGGATTTCACCTGTGCTATTTCGTCATCGCGTACCAGGAATTTTTCAGTTTTCAAATTTACTGGCATGAAAATCCGCGCACCGTACTCGGCGTACGACATTTCATCGATATTAATTAATCATATAATTACGGTAGAATGAAAACGTCGGGAAGTCGTAAATTTGTTAACCTAGAAATGATTACTAAATTCATGGTGATTATAACCATTATTGAAACGTCAAAAAACATCTGAAAAAATTGTTATTCATCTTTTTCATTTCGTCGCACTATTTAACAATAAAATCGCTCAGTAGTAGCGAAATTTTTACGTGAAAATGATGAAAAACAAGTGGAAGATTGCTGTTGTATTGCATACTAGGGGGCAGAGCCCTCTGCTCGCTTCGCTCGTCAACCCCGAGAGGCTTTACCCCTCCGCTCGCTTCGCTCGTGCCCCCCCATCTGCATGAGTTCAATTAAAGATCGGAAATACCTCGTCTTTATCACAACGATAAGTAGTGAGTGATAATAACTATAGATCACTAGTGAAGTGGTAAACGGTTTAAGTCGACTCATCTCCCAGTTGAGTTTTTGAGGAATAATTTTTTTTTTTTGTTATATTTATTTGCTCAAAACTTTACATGTTTATACAGCATAAAAAAAAGGAAGAATAATATATATATATATATATATATATATATACATCATTACGTAGAGTGTAACACTAGGTACTTACATTAATCTTTGTGTTATGATTCAGAAAGTTTATATTTTTAGTTTGCAGACGTCGAGAAAATTTGAGACGATTTCGATACATTTGAGATCAATTTCTTTGAGAATCGTTCGGAAAGAGTATGGAGGGAAGAAATTATTTATCTGGAAAGAGTTGAACATGTTTTCTCGAGCTTGAGCATATCGTGGGGAGGAATAATTCCGAATCTAAGGGAGATAGCGAAATTTTTGTTAATACATTTATTGTAGCTCTCAATCGGCTCTACAAAAAAGGTTATAAGAAAAATTTTGATATCTCCCTTAGATTAAGAGATATTCATTAAAAACTGGCCAATAGTCAAAATTGACTTGTACCGTTTTACCACTTCATTACTGAGATATAGACTCGCATTACCGCATCGAAATTCCGTATTGTTTTTGACAGGTGTTCGATAACTGATACCAGTGGTAGCCATTCTCAATAGACTGGGTTGACATGAGAAAAGAAAATTTTGGGAAAGTAAAAATTATCTCAAGGCGTCCACTATTGAATTTGAAACTTAAGTTTGAAATCCAGCAGTTGACGCCGCCGTCACGAGCTGTCACTACTTCCCCACCAAACTCAATACAACTCAATTGATAAAGAAATTTCGTTTGACGCATCACGTGATCCCTAGGGAATTTGCAATTTAATAAACTCGAAATTAGCGAAATTTCATTTGTCAAAACACAAAAAATCATCGATAAATTTTTTAATAATGTTCCTGTTAGTTCTAGTGTTGGAAATAATTTCCCTCTTTAAGTCTGACGCCTCCAAGAAATAAACATCGATCGTATTTTTTCTCCGGATGTTTGACAACACTGCTAGCCTGTCATTTGGCCCTCGACATCCGGTTATTTCAATTTGGCGTTTGTCGCAAGTGCTATTTTATTCAACAATTTTAATCATTAAAAACGTCCCAATGCTTAACAATAATGAGTTCAATCAATAATCCCCCTCTTCAACCAATTAATTGCCAGTGGAATGAGGAAAAAGAAAAAACTGAAAATCGTGCAAAAGAAGAAGAAAATTATTCTGAAGTGGAAAGGGAAAATTGTGAAGACGAAATGTATTTGAGAATAGGTGAGTAAAATTATCATGACTTTTACTATCGCATAATCGTGTTTATAATCGTGTAGATGCTTCCCACTAGGATTCGCGATTTTCATTTGTTGCAACAGAAATTAAATTGAAATTTACATCGATAAATTGTTATTTTCGACATCAAGACCAAGCGAAAATGAAATTTCGCAATGAATTTGAATGTTTCGCTTGATCCAAGCGAAAATGAAATTTTTTTATTTTGACATTTCTGTCGCCTCCGAGTGTTTCCATTGGCATCTGGGGGTGAATTAATACGGAATCACCATTCACTTGACGAAAAAATTCCATTTTGGCGAAAGTCGACTTTCCCTCTGACAAAATCCAAGATCTGACCCTTGATCCAGGTGAAAATGAAATTTTTTTATTTTGACACTCCTGTCACCTCCGAGTGTTTCATTGACACCTGAGGGGTGAATTAATACAGAATCAACATTCACTTGGCGAAAAAATTCGATTTTGAAAAAGCTAATGCGGACACGTATTTTTCAAAAACGGCAGTAGCAAGAAATTTTTTGAAGTGTGACCTGTATGAATGAAATTTAAATTATTTTTACAAAGATCATAAACTCTCTGATTCTGTATTTGACAAAATACAACAAAAAATTTTTGTTGTAAGAATTGAATAATGGAGCGAGATTGCCTTGATTCAAAATTCCATGGGTTGAACTTGCTGACAGGCAGCACCACGAGGATAACATTTTATCCGTCCACCCGACACCCCGGGAGCTGTCATTTGTCAGACGATTCCCTGAATATCAAATCGTTTTACGCTGTGCGAGTAGACCTTCAGGTTCACACAAAACGTAGGCATTTTTCATTCAATACTTCTCCCCACCAGGTTTTTTATTATATCACGCCGGCGATGTATTTTTATTCTTAAAATTGGTATGAGAATGCGTGCTGTCAGACAAGCGGAGATGTGACAATTTGACTCGCGAGGGGTGATCGAATGGCTCGGAGGCCGGTGATCCAAAATTATCCTGACCGATCAGGAATGCCCTGACCTTTGATTGGCGTTCCGATTGTTTTATCGGTTGGAAGTATTCTAGGTGAACTGAAAAGTAATACGAATTTTACGGATAAATGTGCCACTCACTCGAAATATTAATAAAGCATTTTTGTAACGAATCAACTGTTTTTGAAAAAAATTAGGTTGCCGAGATTTATAATCATAAGATCTAAACATGAATTTTATTTAATTCATATGATTAAATCAATTCCGCTGAATATTTTTAAATTACTATAATTTAAATTAATTAATTAATTGTATAATTATTATATATAATTATCCAATTAATTAATTAATTTAAATTATTAATAACCCGAAAACCCAAAAAACAACGTTCTCACACGTTTTTTTTTTAATTATTAATAATTATTATTATTGATTATTATATAATTAATTAAAATTTGAATTAAAATTACGGAAGTAAATTACTTCCCAACAAAAATATTTTTGAAATAAATAGAAAAAATACAAATTAAGAGTTTAATTCCATTAAAATTCTTTATTTTAGTGCGTGCACATAATTATTGAAATATGCATCAATGCATCATGCATCGATGAAAAGTCATCGAGACATGTCACATAAAGAATTAAGGGATTTCAATGACGAGTAAAAAGTTTTCCTTCCGAGATCAAAATTCAACTGAATTTTCCCCATCGCATGAACTTGAAATAAAATCTCATTTCAAATCCATTCCTCCTCTCGAAGTAAACAAACATGACGAACGTCACTTATCATGGTGTTTCCTCAAGACAGTTTGCACAGTAACACTGGAGAGATACGAGTCAAGGGACGAGTGAATACCTGAGCATTTTCTCAGATATATTTATTTGTACCTCCGTAAAACCCCAACACCGATAACGCCCCCACTAAAGATTAAATAATCCTTCCAGCGGAGAGATTAAAAACACGAACAAAGAGTGAGTGAATCCATAGCCGGAAATGAATGAAATAAAATGCATTGTTGAGAATTGAATCATTTGAGATTTTAAATGCTCGTCGTACGGGGATGATTACGATTCCTTTGGCGCCACGATTTAACTTATGTTTTCCGTACCATTTTTCTTCAGGATTACGGGAAAAATAATGAAAAAATTCCATCTCCGTTATTTCTCCTGAATTATGGAGTTTCTTCACAGAAGACGGAGGTTTATATAGCGCTCTACATCTTGTGGCATCACTGGATATTGCTGGATAGGATTTTGGAGTAGGTATGAGGGGAAGCAGGATAATTCTCAATATTAGTTGACAAGACAAATTACCTGAAAAAATTCGAAAGTCCAGACTGAGATTTGAACCCGGGACCTTCCGATTATGTACACGGAGAGAAATGTTCAGTAAAAATTACGGAACTCACAATTCACTTACCGATTAAGGAGTCGACTCAGAAAATTTAAGTGACGGTATCGTAATTTTTCACAGGAGATTCAGATAAAAATTACGGAACGCTCCGGGAAAATTCCGTGACAGTTCCGTAAAATTTCTTACAACCACATTTCGCTCCGGAATTACGGAAAAGATACGTCATTTTGATTGAATATTTCTCTCCGTGTATGAGGTGCTCTCCCAATTTGAGGTAAGGTCACAAGGGTCTCAAAAAAGGAGTCACTGAGGTCACGAAGTCACAAGGGTCACATAAAAGAAAGGAGTCGCTAGGGTCACGAGGGTCACAAGAGTGACACTGCTTTGGTTGAATGCGTTTTTGACTGAAAATTCTTTTGTTGCAGATTTTGTTGACTGAATTTTTGCGATTGTTGTTGCAATTTTTTCCGAAAAAAAATTCAATCAAAAAAATCTCCAACTCAAAAATTTCCATTAAAATTGAGTTTTGTTGTTCTGATGCTGTAAATATAATCATTGAATTCAAATGTGGGAATGTGAGTGCATGAATTGGTATGTCAAGTATCTATAGGAAGCTTTATGGAAATGTTCGTATCTTCAAAAATAAGGATTGTAATGTTTATATCCCAAAAACTAATTGAGAGGGAATTTTTTCTTAATTTTTCCCGTATTCCTGGGGAAGAATGGTAAGAAAAATATATGTGAAATAGCGGCGCCAAAGGAATCGTAATCTTCCTCGAATTACAGCGAATTTTCAATTAATTGAAATTTCATGACTATATTTACTGGAATTTTACTGATTTTTATTCGTTATCAGAGAATAATTGAACTGATATTCACATTTCTCATTGATTTTTCCATGAAATTCTGCATTTTCAACGACGAAACTCCTCGAAATGTCAGTGAATCGAAAATGTGATAAAAATTGACAAAAAATGCCGGAAATTCGGCGAAAAATTTTTAACCGT